GATAATATTTACGACTAAACTTACGTGATGATGCCACAAATATCATAAACATAAACTAAACTTGAACCTTGTGCGGATGATAAATGATCTTTCACTACCTAGTATTAATATATTCTATTGAAAGCTTTAAGTGCGGAAACTGCTCAAATTATCTAATTCATTGCCTTGCTTTTCAATTTCTGTTTTGCTACGAGAGACTCCCTATATGCATTCAGGACGAGAATAACCTCCCCCATTATATGCGTCTCTTTTAGGTGCTATAAATAACACGTTATTTGAGAATCGAACTTGTCCATAAATTCTAAATCGATTTTCTTGCTTTATGCCTAGAGTTGCAAGTTTTCCCTACCGTATGTTTTGCTTTCCTCTATTTTTTTATCGTTTTGCAGGAAAATGTTTCGTGAAAATATATTATTTTCTATAGATTTTGTCGATCGTAAATTTTTTGAAACTTGATTTAGTTTTCCGCATGCTTGCCAAATGTCACCGAATGCAGTATAATTTTACTGATGCTTAAAGCAAACTGTAAGCATGCTTCTCGCACGTTAATATCCTCATTGCTGATAAATCGAAAAAGAAAGGAAACTGAGAACCGCCATTACCATCCGTCCCATTGTTTAATACCTTTCGGTTATGCAAACAGCTTTTTATGTTCTTTTCACTTGGCCTGCTCACACGCTGAATAAGAATCGCCTTACAAAAAGGCAAGATCACATACACGTTGCAAAACAAGCTTCAGTTTCACAAGCTTCTATTTCTCGCTGTAATTTCGTCCGCGCCACGTCTTTCCTGACTGTTCATGTTCCATGAAAGAACAAAAAAGTAGAAAAACCATGCGGTAACAGAAGATTTCACACTATTTTCATTCCACATGAGTATTTCCACGAACGTGTGACCTAATAATGAAACCACTGATAACAATGACTGGAATGTATAATTCTTGTTTTCCAAGTTTTGGGAAAACCATCAACCCGCAGTGGGCCATAAATCCGGATCGAACCTGGTGCTAGTTTTGCTGCGACGTTTTGGCCAGTGTTATCCGTTACTCACTGTGAAAACTATGTTTATACACGTTTGTGGCCTAGTATTGGGTACAGCTAAAGCAAAGTGGCGTTGCGTTGCTCCATTGCTGGATGCTGGATGCCATCCAAACGATATCTTTTTTGGTGCATGTTATGGGCGTGCGGTGCGGCACACAGGCGCTGTCGCGCCTCCGAAGGACGTTTACAATGGCGCGTCGCAGGAACGCTAGACTATGGCAGACAATGGATAAATGTATAAAATAGTGGGAGGATTGCAGTTGAAATACTTGCGGGAAAGGAATGTCGCAGCACGCAGCACCGACAAATGTGTGTGCGGGGCGTGAATGCAAGAGCCTCGAGATATGCGTTATTAATGTCGCGGCTGAAACGTTTTCAATGTTTGTAAGATTACGGCATTGTGTGCCACTGTCGTGTTGTAATAACTCTGAAATGACCGAAGTGAAGCATAAAAATTCAAAAAATTGAATTGAGATTACAAAGTTTTTTGGCTAAAATTAATCACGTTGGTTAGAACTCACCACTTTTAAAATTAATCAATTTAATTAACTTTGAATGACCTACATTTTCAAAATGTAAAAGCCAACCTTGAACGCACAAGTTCAAAGCTAGTGCGCCGAGGGAAACGATACAAACTAATTTCACATGGATGTTCGTGCTATGTAAGCAAGTTTGCCAATATCATTTCGTAGTTTCAAATAAAAGAGGTAAATTTCGTCCATGAACACGCCATGAATTTCGGTGCACATTTTTTAAACACGCTATGAGTTTTCACGTCGACATGCACAGTTCCCTCTTGCCGCTGCGCATTTTCCATATTTCATGCAAGTATATTTTATGCTTACAATATTTCTCGACAAATTCACTTCCTGCAGATAGATTTTTTTCAAGGATTCGTTGCGTGCGGAACATAACTTTAAACTTTTGCTCAAGACTGCAAGAATTTTAACAAAATAAACCTCTTTTAAGATCCTTGCTCATTTTATGGGTTAATGCAATTTTTAAAAGTTTGGACTCAAGCCAATCTTCTGCGGTAGTGGCTCGTTGAAAATTAAATGAGTCTGGAGGTCGATGAAAAACCTTTTTACATTAATTGCACACTTAACAAGGTTATTCCAACATGTTTATTTGATTGTACGAGTAGAACAGACACTTTCAACAAAACTGCAACAAAAACGTTGGATTAAACTCTGTAAAAAAAAACTGTGACAAATTTGAATTTTTCATACAGAAATGAAAATATTTCAACACGGTCTTGAATGTGTATATATTTTCAGAATAAATCATATGAATATGCTCAACACTAAGAAAAAGAAATCTCCAACAACACCTATTCAAATAAAATTACTTGCTGTAATAAATTACTTTAAGTACGTGAGATTCTATGTGAGATCCTACACATGTTGTTCAGATAACAAATTACATAGAAAAATGAGATTGCTCTGGGCTATGGTGTACCACAACAAATAAAATGCATGTTTAAGTTGAAACAAACTTCCATTCCTCTGTGCATTCAAGTGTATGCTTAGGTGCAGACGGTAAGATAGTAAAGTACCTAATCGAGTAACCGAGGAAAACTTTGAATACATGGTTCAAGGGAAGAAAAGTCGGTAATCTAAGTAAATGTCGCAATACAACAACGCATACGAAATTACGTTCTCATTGTCTGTGTAACGAAAGCGCCTCAAAACTTTCGACCTTGATACGAAACTATGCACGAGTTGCTGCGGATTCCGATAATTAGTTTTCAACATCCCAACACCCCCAAAACAATATATTTGCTCAACAGTAGAATCAATAAATACGTTTTCTATTAGTTGCAATAATTAAGTAACGTTCTTAAAAGCAAGAAAATAAAATGGAATTTTGTAGGCACGTTTTGCTACTGACCTAATAAAGATAAACTTGCTTGAAATCGAGTTTATTCAATTTCATGACACCCACGAAATTGCAAAAAGCAGCTTTTCGTGCATCGATCTTCGGCAAGTTCCAGCACTGTAATCTGGTTAAAAGCCATCTGAGCCGAGCTGAACGAATGTACGTACCAGCAAAAGTACGAGCAAGGAAAAAGCGTAGAATGATTGTAAGTGCCATCAGAGTGCATGCAGAAAGTCGATGTATGTAGAAAAAGCTGGCTGTAGAACAAAATCATGTGAGTAAGCGGATAAATCTTCATTAAGATGTTTGTTTTCCATGTAAATTTGGAGAGATACATACTAACAACAAATAGATTTATTCAAAAAGTTGTCTTTGTAAATACATAATTTTAAAAGCTCTAAAGATAACGTGACTTGGGTAGAAATTGACAGTTACAAAAAAGTTTATCAATTTGGTGATAAAATAAATCAAAAAAGTTTTATCTTTTGCTTGGCAAAGCTTTAACATATTGGGATTTATTAATACGCATGAGAAAACATTAATAAAAACTTCTAACGCATAAGTTGAACTGTTTCATAGTTGTTTCATAACTTGTGACTAGTTCGACATGATGGTTTCAACCGTCAATTCAATTCGGAAGTTTGTTTAATAGCAATTTGTTTTTGCAATTTCAACTCTTACATTCGAGAATTTAATGTGCTTCGTTAATGCGAATCCCGATTTCCATTAATGACACGGCTATACATTACGTTCTCCACAACCTCTTTATGGTACCTAAAACTTATATCCATTAGTGTCTGATAATAAGAAAGTAGGTACGAGTATAATACTCAGCGTATTTTCTCAAAACATCATATAAAAATTACAATAAAAGTTAAATTTCCCAAGTTTGTGTAAACGCTATTCGTAATAAAACTTGCTTTCATAATCTTAATAATAGCATTCATTTGCGTTCTAAAGAGACTACTAATTAGAAAGAATAAGTGCACGGAACAAAGCGCTCATTAAACACAAAATGCAAAAAGTCTACGTTGTTAGGTTGTAAAATGTTCTGCGAATCGTGTCAAACGTTCTGGAAAGTATAAAGAACGCAAATAATTGCTTAGATTTTCCACGCTGAGTGCTTTACAAACAATCTACCTCGGCAATCGCCGGCCATCTTCCCATTTAACAACGTTTTCCGATGTCCACCAACGTAATTGCTCTGCGTTCCTGCGAACATCTCTGTTCGGATTTTTTATTGCCAGGAATTTCTTACGCTTCAGGACCTCCATGTGGCACCGCTGAATGTTGAGACTGACATTTATTTTCTCCGGAATTATTAACAATCCAAACATGTTTTACGTTTACGTGATCTAAAACAAACAAAAACTAAGAACATGAATCATACAATTAGTAGAAAAACTGAATAAGTATCAACTTGAATTTTAGAAGAATCGATCAATGTATTGTTCAATCCATTAGTCAACCGTTTAAACTTTTAAGTAAAACAAAATATTGGAATTTACTTACTCCCTTTCTGCAGTGCGCGAGAATCGATGTTTGTAGGCGACGTCGACATTATCTGAACATCTCGCGCCGTGAAGACGATAAACGCTCCATCATAGTCGTTCACGATTGTGGCGGGTAGTCGGAGGAGTTCGCGGGCCGCCGGCCCGCTGCACTGGTCCTACGAGATGCTCCCCAATGGGGAATACTCTCCGCAGACAGGATCCAAAGTGCGCGTCAACTTTCCGCCGGAGACGCTCGATCGCCGACACAGTCGTTCCCTGCTGATACCGCGCAGGAATCGCAGTATGAGCGCGTGGAGCGACATTAGTCGATCGAGTTGGCGACTTGACGACAGGTATGATGTAATTAATAATTATAGAATTATCAAGAAATATTACAGCAGACAGTATTTTCAAAAACTCGATAGAATTTCAATTAAGCCTTCATTTTATTGATAAACGGATTTGTTCTCAAAATCAAAACATATTCAACACTATTGAAATTGATCGAATTACAAACTTGTAGGATATCATAAAATACAAATATAATTCAAAAACCTGATGTACAACTTCAAAACTTTTATGTATAAATTTATTCAAAATGGAGGCTCTTCTCTCTACGCGCGAATAGGATGTGATTATTGACCATCAAACCTATAAATTAAATCATGAAATAGAAATTAACCCTTAAGATGTTTTTACAAACCTTTCAATGACTTCCAAGCGGTATGTGCAGCATATTCACAAATAAATTCAAGTTTTGCTGTTGAACTACCAACTTGCTTTTCAATATGCACCAATGCAGATGTTTTCAGCTGCTGCTTCACAAGTTCGTAAGTGTTCTGACGACTAAATTCCGATGGGACATTGAACAAAATCAAAGTACATGCCTAGAAAAATTAATTGATATTTGTTTTAAAACGCAGCCCAAAATATTAATTCAAATGATATCTCACCATTCGTTTGTCAGGAGATCTTATGGGTCTTGCCCATTCAACTCGGATGGGACCTCCCCATGCTACCAACTTGTTCGGCCAAATACTTTTGCGACATATGCTTGCATTTTGATGACTGTCAAATTCCAAAAATGCCCAGCCTTTGTGCAATCCACTTTCCTTGTTAATTTGACACTTAACATTGATAATGCCAGGAAATAGCAACTGCAGGTCACATTTAATTTGAAGCGGCGTTATGGTTGGTGGAATGCCATGCAGGAATAGTTTTGTGTTGTCCCATGATATATAAGCGGAGAGTTGTCGATCTTTCAAGATATAGCCGTGTAAGCAGTCAATGGCCCGATAAGCATTGGCCACTGTAGTATAAGTAACAAAACAGAAGCCTCGGGAAAAGCCAGAAAACTCCATCATCAGGCGGAACTCGTATATTTCTCCGATTATTGAAAAATACGGGAAAAGTTCGATTTCGCACATGTTACGCGGTAAATTACCACAAAATATTTGCGTACCTGACTCAGGTTTGGTTACGTTCTCGTTGGTGTAAATGCGTTGGGCCCGTTCACAACGAACTTTATCTTTTGTTAACAACAGCATTTTTGCTTAATTGTATATTTTTGAATCTTTAATTCCGCTGTGAAAACACTTCACCTCGTCAGCTGTTGCGGTGCTAATGCAGTTTCTTAACACTCAAAACTAAAAACATCGACTTGAAATCAAGTTTTTCGGAGACGTTGACGGAGGGGAGCCACACAAAATAAAGAAATAAAATGATGCAGGCGAAAAACTGTTTTGTCATATATACAATGGTGGTTCTTTCTGAGCCTGCAAAACTGAAAATATAGATACAACCAATGTTTTCTTGAATAAAACCTCGGGTTTAGTTGCTCAAATTATGTTTTATATTTTTTTCAATATAATCTTCATAGTGTAATCATCTGATTAATTAATTCACATGTATCAAATTACAAAAGTAAAATCAAGTAGATCTTCATGTCAAGGAAATAATTTTACTAATTATAATAGCAATCAGGAAAATCTGTCTTTTTAAATATGACATGAGGCGATCCGTGAATTTCCATTAGAACATCATACCGTTTTCGTGAAGCACAAACTGGAAAAATCATTATAATATTATTTCATTAGCAATAATGTAAAAATAGATAAAATATTAATATATACCAGATTTGGATGAAAAGGCAGGTGTTGTGGGATCGCAGGGGGGAACGGTGCCAAATGGTGTGGTGCAGGTGGAAAAATAAAATTATTCGCCATCATTGGTGAAATCGGAGGCGGATTCTTCAACGCTTGGCGAATTCGAATAAGTCGCCTTATTTTAGCCGGAATAGACCTGCAATATAATTTAACAATTATGTAAATATTATTATTATTTAAATTCTGCACCAGTTACTTACAAGCAGAAATGATTTGGCTCAGTGTTTCTGGTGTGTAAATTGCTATAGAATTCAGGACGAGCCCATGTAACTTCAAGCTTTCTTCCAAGTATTTCAGCACCTGTTTGAAACAAAGCCACATAACACAATCAATTATTTATACAATTACAAAGTGTTTATTACCAGATAATTTTTCAAGGGCATTTTCTGCAGCAGTGCGATTATACAAGTGAATAAACGCATAATCGTTCTTCTTATGGACTTTGTGCACCAACTGCATCGGAATTAATTTCCCAATTTCCATTTGAAACTTCTCGGGCGAGAGACCCACCGCAATATTACGACAATACAACTTAGTAACCTGTCAATAAAATACACAAGATTAATTGATCAATTCATAAACGCCCGCATTATCAATAGATTAGAATACCCTCGACATAATGTTGGGATCAGGGTCGGGCAGTGGTTCGGCCCAATCAACCAATATATTCGACTCCCACAGGATCAGCGATCCGGGCTGGAGGCGACGGCGTGCTATCGCCGCATAACGATGATTCTCAAACTCTATGAACACATACCCTCGGTTAACGCTCTGATTGAGGCTGGACGGATACATTATCACGTCCTTAATGCCATCAACAAACTCATTGAACGCGTCCTGCACTTCTTTCTTCGTTTTGTCCAACGGTATGCCGCCAACAAAAAGACGTGTGTTGTCCAACGACTTAAATACGCCGATCTTGCATCCCTGTCGTAGCTCGTAGCCGTCGAACATTTTAACAGCTGCGTTGGCAACGTCTACGCGAAAATAGGTCACGAAGCAAAAGCCGCGATTTCTTCCATTGAAATCCATCATCAACCGAAGCTTAAAAATCGCACCGGCACGTTCGAATATCGGTACCAGTATGTCTTCAAAAATATCTCGAGGAAGTTTCCCAACAAATATCTCACATCCTCGTGGTGGATTTATAGAGTCATTCATGGGGTTGAAAAATACGCGTTGGCCATTGTCTTGTTCAATGTGGTAGCCAGTGCGTGCCAGTAATGCTTCAATACGTTCCATTGTAGTTGCCTCTACTAATTGTAACATTTTGATTATTTTGTCTAAGGTGTTTTCCGATTTGTTCACGCCACCGACTCACTAAAGTGAATGATTTTTGCTCGTGAAGCTTTTGGTAGTTTCGCAAGTTGGGCCGTTGAAAAACGGTCGTTGTTTTAGTTAGTGGGGATGAGACGGCGGCAGAATAAACCGTTGAAATACATTGTAGTATAGTTTGCAGCTGACTTTAAACTTATTTTCTTATTTTTTAACCGTCTTCGCGAGACTTTAACCGTCTGATGGTCATTTTATTCTTTTAAGTTACATTGTTGCATCTACAGAAGAAATCGTCTAGGCGAGAACTTAATTCCACATATTTATATTGAGCTTTTGAAAATTGATTATCAATGGCGATTTGTTATTACTTTATTATTACGAGTATGCATTAATATTTTATGTAAAATAAAATATTTATCAGTCGGAATTGTAAATGATTTTGACGCCTGCATATTATTCAGTAATGCAAACATTGGCAAAACATTTATACAAATGTACCTATTAATGTAATGCAATTGTTGTTCAATTACATTCGCCATTTTCTTTCTTCTCGTGTGCTACCAATAACATTGCACAAGTACGTGTATATCCCCACTTCGTAATCTTCAGGTAGAAACAAGTCGCCTGTACCTTGAACTGCTGGAACGAATTGAACCGTTGTTGAACGTCTGGCAAACCAGTTTAATATATACTCGTACATAAGGGCGAGGAATGTTATGCATCGCTACGAACGGTTTGCAATGGAGGCAAGTTGTAAGTTTTCGAGAAGTCTGAGTTGAATTTCAAAACATACTTTATTTTAAATTATAAAAAAAGAAATATCGGTTACAATTTCATTAAAATTATATAAATCGGTTACAATAATATACGAATAAAATTAAATGAATATAAATATTAATTGAATTATTAGTAAAGTAATTTAAAATAGAATTAAAAATATTCTTTTGAAGTCGATGGTTCATCCTCTTCCAAATACTTAGCCTAAAATGAAAAATTATGTAATGTAATAATATTAGGGGAAGGTTGGCCAAGTCGTACCCCTAAAATACAATTGGCCCTAAATTGAAAGTTTTGCAACATAATGTCAGTACGACTTACGTGACGGTACGACTTAAGCGACTTTCCCCTACTTATAAAATATTATTTTTTTATACATACAATGTATCTATCAACTCTCTGGGTGCTTTCCTTTAAAGAGGTCCTACCATCAGAAGAAGCAGCATCATCATAATCACTGGATTCACCTGATCTTGGGTCCTTACATTTCTGCTTGACAATCCAGCGTTGTTTAGCAGGCAACGACCTAATAATAATTATTAATTTTAATATTTACAATTTATCAAGTGTATAATGCATACATACAGGCAATAATGTGATGGTATAATATTCTGCATAACTTTCTTACTGTACATCTTCGGGCGCGCCCATGTTACCTCTAATCTATGATCGTAAATCATCAAATTACGCAAAGCCCGAATACCTCCTTCGGCCTCGTGACGATTTCTAAAATGCACAAACCCATAATCGCTGCATTTGGATATCTTGTAGATTGAGTTCGGTTCAACCACGGCTTCAATGCTGTCTTTCAATTCGGTATACGACAGCTGCGATGGAAAATTACGAAAGTAAAGCGCGGTAACCTGCGTATAAGGAAACAAACAAAATTTATTGGAATTGAGTGTTTACAAGCATTACATGTGTTGTTCGAAACGAGCAATTACCTTGGACATGATTTCTGGGTCAGGTTCAGGCAGCGGTTCCGCCCAATCGATTTTAATCCTGAGTCCCCACAGCATCAGTGACCTAGGCGGAATGCACCGCCGGGCTATTGCCGCCGCCCGATGATTCTCGAATTCGATAAAAGCGTAGCCACGATTGCGAGTTGGATCAAACGCCATGGGGTACATAATAACATCTTTAATACCGTCCATGTGCTGCTCAAGCGCTTCTTTCAACTCGTAGATTGTTATGTTCTGTGGAATGCCACCGACGAAAAGCCTCGTGTTATCAAGAGATTTGAACACGCCGATCTGGCATCCCTCGCGGATTTGATAATTGTGTAACTTACGGAGGGCCATATCAGCCGCCTCGCGCGTAAAATAACGGACAAAGCAGTAGCCGCGATTGCGGCCGGCGAAGTCCACCATTAAGCGTAGCTGATAAATTGGCGCGGTTTGCGAAAAAAGCGGCACGAGTTCATCTTCGTAGATTGTGCGAGGCAACTTGCCGACAAAGAGCTCAGTTCCTTTTGGGGGAAATTTGTTGGCATCGTTGTTGCGCAATCCATAAATGCGTTGACCGTTGGCTTGAAAAATGCTATATTTTGTATCTTCAAGTAGTGTTTTAAGTTTATTTGCTTGATCCATGATATTTGAAAGTGATTTGAAAAATTATTAATTGTATTGGGAATCACTACAATTATTGAGCACTCTTAAAATTATTTTGTTGATTTCAGAATCACTACATCAACACGATTGTTGGTTTCTAGACGCTGGCAAGTCAACGACTATTCTGCGACCGTTATAAGTTAAATGCCCGCGAGTGAGCTTTTTCCTGTTACTAGGTGCTTTATGCTAGGGGGTGATGAGTGATCGGATGTGACGAAATTCTAGATTTGTGCTGGTGTTTTTTAAAAATCAGCGCGTAAATTTGAATGGAATGTAAAAGCTCATTTTGTAGCTTAAAATTCATTCTTAAATACAGCACAATTAAAAATATGTGAATTTAGTAAATTATCGTAGGTATATGAAGCATATATAAATTTTAATTAAAAGTCAAATTGTATTACAGTTTGTTAATCAACTTAATAATCTGTTATCAAAGTTTAATTTGCCAGACATTCCCTTGTATAAATATATAATAAATATATTATATCATACCTATCTACTAGCTTAAGACGAGCAGCTGCTTGCTGGCCTGCACATTTTTTTATCCTGCAAAACCAAAAGATTCAGCTGCCGAAGAAACTTCTACCTACTACTCGTACATGCAAAGAAAAAAAAAACGGAAAAATTTGTGCGCAAAAGAAATCTCAACTCAATTTATTATTGAAAAAGTTTACATATAAAAAATGATTACATATTCGTACAAAAATTACTTAGCTTATTTATACGTTGCCAATTATTTAAACATTTAAAAAGAATAAATACGGTTGAATATATTATTGGGTTACATAGTCTGAATAAATGATTAATACAAAAATTGCGATGGATACACGATTAAAAGTTTAGGTTTGAGCTCGATGGTGTATCGCCCAGCTCACGGGCGTATTCCTCCTGAAACATACAAATATTTAATGCAAATTCAGTTCGAAATTACCTATGGTAAATGCTAACAAGAATATGTTGATCCCGTGGAAATATAAATAAAGGTGTATTGACTCGAGAACTTTCCGAATTGTAATCGGCACAGTCGCTGGACCTCTCCGAAGATCCACCATTTTTGTTACTTTTTTTTCTGATAAGCCACCTTGACCGTGCTGGCAGCGACCTAGACATTAAGTTGTTGTTAAATAATTCCTTACATGTACCTAAATATCTACATCTATATGTGTTAACATACATGCAATAATGATCCGGAGTAGTATTTCTGTTATATTTCCTGCTGAACCTTTGTGGCCGTGCCCAAGTGACTTCTATCTTCTTTTGTAAAATTTTAAAACACTGTAAATCATGCAAACATTTTTCGGCAACCTCTCTATTGATAAAATGTACAAATGCATAATCTAATGTTTTGTACACTTTTGTAATTAATTCGGGCTTGACGGTAAGAAGAAGTAGTCGTTCAAATTCTTGAGTGGACATAAAACTTGGTATGTTGCGCATGTACAATGTCGCAACCTGTAAAAATATTTAAAAAACATTATTAGTACTTTATTATATTGTCTTATGTATGCATAAATTATTTAATTACTTTTGACATAATTTCGGATGGAGGTTCGGGCACGGGATCAGCCCAATCGACTTTAATCGGCGAATTCCAAATATGTGATCCGGGCGGAATGCGACGGCGCGCAATTGCAGCTGCGCGATGATTTTCGAATTCTAGGAACGCGTAGCCTCGATTGTATGTGATATCGTCATATGAAGGATACATGATAATGTTTTTGATATTATCCATGTAATATTCGAGCATATGCACGATTTCAGTCTTCGTTTTATCTCTCGGCAGGCCGCCGACAAATAGTCGTGTATTGTCGAGTGACCAGTAAACGCCAAGTCGGCAACCCGGTCGCACTTCGTAGTAGTTCAAGCAACGTATAGCTCGCTCCGCGTGTTCGCGCGTAAAATAACGGACAAAACAATAGCCTCTATTTGTTCCATCAAAGTTTACCATAAGACGTAACTCGTAGATTGCTCCAATTTGCTCGAAAATCGGCACCAATTCGTCTTCGAATATGTCGCGCGGTAGTTTTCCAATGAATAATTCGCTGCTGCGTGGAGGTTCATCATGGGAGCTGGTTCGCAGGCCATAGACGCGTTGACCATTGGTTTGTGTAATACTATATTTCGTATCTTGTACTAAATGACAAAGTTTTTTACCGTCGTACATGTTGAATACTAACACACTCAATTCACTCGTTTAATACTTGATTTGTAAGGGCAGGAGCACTTATTGAAAGTTAGTTCATATCGTTTGGTTGTGCTGGAGAGACTAAAAACCGTTGCAGGTTTAGTTAGTGGGGATTAGAAGGAATCGGAAGTGGAGAGATATGATGTGTCAATTTTCTGCGCGAAAATTTCAAACATGGGAAATGCTGTTTTCAAAACTATTACTTTTATTTGTTAAACATTTAAAACTAAACATACAAAGCAGATCTATAACTATGCACTATTAATTCATATATTTATATCTAAAAATAGAATTATAATTTATGAACCACTTCTAAAATATAAATTCGAAAATTCTTAAATATAAGAAATTATCTATAATAATTATCATAAAAATGTGTGTAAAAAGTAAGTAAATCAAACAAATCAAACATAATTAACATATTTTAAAAACTTACAAATTGAGAGCTTGAACAACACCAGCGGTGCGGTCAGTAAGTTCATCACCCGTCATATAGTTCAAGCAATTTCTACAAAATGACGATTGTCCTTCATCACCTCGCACACAATTGGTCAACCTAGAAGTCGAACAATTCGCGGCATGTTGTATAGCGTTCTGTTGAAATTTCTTGTAGGGATTGTTGTTGTAGTAGATGTTATTGTTGCTGTATGGACGTTGGCTTGATGTGCAAGGGCTGTCAGGCAAGGATGAAGTCGGCGAGTAGTTCTCCTTGTTCTTTTTCTTTGGTGGTGGCTTGGCCCAGCAGACTTCCACATTGGTGTTCTTGAAATACTCGCGAAGAAGGGAGAGACCGCGCTGGGCGTCTCGTCGACTTATAAAATGGATGAAAGAGTAGTCGCGATATTTGTAGATCTTCTCCAAACTAAATTCCGAACCCAACGCATTAATGATCACATTTGCAAACTCTTCAGGTTCTTGTAGAACGTTCAAATTGCGTAGAAATAGTTTAGTTACCTGCGCACAAAACAAAATGGAGCATTTTAGTTTAGTAGAAGTTAAAATGGCGACTTAAGAGTCCACTTACTTGTTTCATTGTGCCATCATCAACGCTGTGCAATGGAGCCGACCAATCGACTAGAACACGATTTCCAAAAAAGAATGTGTTCTTGAACTCTGCACGAACGCGCCCAGCTTCTTCGTGCGATGCAAATTCGACAAAGACAAAACCACGGTTGCAGTTTCGGTCAATGTACGATCGGTACATGATTACCTCCACGATTCCTTTCATACCCATACGAATCAATTCGTGCCATACCTGATCTTTAGTTTTATCTTCTGGAATTCCTCCGATGAATAACCTCCTGTTGTCGAATGACTTCCTCACATGGATTGTATGTCCTGGCGCGATTTCCATTTGATCAAACATCTCGATTGCGTTACCCGCCATCTCAGATGTATGGTAGGTGACGAAGGCTGTTCCTCGGTTGCTGATGCCTGATGGACTCATCAATAAACGAAATTTGTAGATGCATCCCGCGGTTTCAAAAAGCGGAAACAGAATATCTTCGAAGATTTCGCGAGGAACTTTGGAGATGAATATCTCGCAGCCGTCAGGTGGTACCAAAGCACCATGACGCGGGCCCAAAGTACGTTGCGCAGTCGTTATATCCAGAGGATAATTTCTCTCGATAGATAATTGTTTAACGCGTTCTTCGATTTCTAGTCGGCGAGGGTTGAAAACTGTTTCCATTTTAGAAATAATTCGAAGTGAGATTAATGAATTGGTAAAAAATGAATTGTCTAATCAACGCGCACGGTCAAGTCGAAACTGAAGAATGGTAAAGACTCTTTTGCGCGATATACTTTTGAGATTGCGTTTTAGGGAACTAATATAGTGGGGAGTTGGGGGCTACCACCTTGGGTGGCAGGCAAAGCACAAAAGCACAGCCTTACCAAAAGTTAGTTATAGTCAGAGTCGAATTAAAAATGTGCTGAAAATTGTATACTTTAATCTTTATCAGTAATACGATGTTATTTTAACATGTATGTTGAAGCAGATTACTTCCGGTTCGATTACTAAATATGCATATTATGTTTATCGGCAAACAGCTGACAATATCACGTCAAATTTTCGAAGTGCTGATCTGTATGAAAATCACACCTGCTAAGATTGTCCTCGCAGGAGATTGGTTGGTGCTCTGCTGGTGATGTAAATTCTAGCAAAATCTACATCTTCCCCGCATACCCTTCTACAACCGTACATAAAAAGCGTTGAAAGACTGTTTTTCTTCGTTTATTTACTTTGCTTTAGAAACCAAAAATTCTGTTGGATGTTTTTTACGTCTGGACTTACGCCACGAAGTTATATCAACTTATTTTCGTTTGTCTGGTCGTGGTTGGAGTGGTTTTGATTTGCAGCACTTTTTTTTAATGCTTTTTCCTGCCCCCAAATAGTGCCTCACGGCTTTTCAGATTCTGCATTATTTGAAGTGTTTTGAAAACGTATTACGTTTAATTTTGTTTTGTTTTTGTTTCTATTTTCGTAATAAATCAGTAACTATCCAACAGCAATTTGGCAGTTTGTCAAGATTAATTAACATAACACGTATTTAATTAAAATTGTGAGCTATTGTGCACTGCCCAAACTTTAGTTAATTAGGTCATGTTCATTTTGCAACTTGTCTGCCAGTTATATCTGCGAAATTATCCCGCAACTTGGGAGCATTTTTTGCGGAAACCATACGTCTAATCCTTTGAAATATGACATACAATAAAGTATAAGAAGTTTGCGCAGCATTTTCCCCGTAAATCCACTGTTAATCCACAGCGCTCGGGATCATAACGCTTTCCGTTTGAATTCGAGAATAATGATTCGAAGAGTGCGAACAATATAACTCAGCTGCAAGTTGCAAATCAATAAAATAATAAAGATTGCGGCTGGGCGTCAGTATCGCTAATAAGATTTATTATTGTAAACACGATAACATAAACTGTGTGTTTATGGTTTAAAGCGGGCTGGGTTGACCCAGAAGATCTCGATTACCTTAAGTTCGATACTTTGAAAAATTATATTATAAGTTGTCGATCATCATTATTTACTAAAATAACAAGATTATGGTTTATTAAAAATAGGCACTTAGAGTTAAGAGGTCATTTTATAAAATGTTGGTACTAAAAAATTGACATAAAACTGCTCAAATTACATATAACTAGTTGGAAAATAATTCAATTAACTTTAAAATATGAAAAGTAATTGTGTTAACTAAAGATTTCATTTCAATATATCTAACTACGATTAAATTTAGTATTGGGATGATTTACCTATTGTGTAAAATATGTAGGTATCTGAATACTTAGATGTACAGAATTTAAATCGTAGTACTCGATAACACTGCCTTATTGAAGCGACATCACGGGGGCGGCAGCAACCACCGCCGCCGGTTTGTGACTGCACTTTGACGCGAATCGATCGCTAGCGTTTCAACGGCGCTAGAGATTTTCACCGCCAGAGGTAGCAACCCGACCAATACGATATACTTCAACAAACGCACAATTATTTAAATTTTAATATTTATAAACATCATCAATATATTGATTTTTCAGTTCTAAGTTCCTAGAAACTAATTTGAATAGTTCAAGTTTGCAAACTAGGCAAAATCCTAAATGTATGTTGCAGATAACCTAAGGCGCAAATTAACTTTGGAACTGCCAGAAACATTAGAATATTTACACGAGCGCTAAATATTTAACGGCCCGGTTTTGACGGGCGCTAATTGTGCGAAACGCGAAACGCAAATTGAATTGACGTCTAGCAAGCGCTCGAATGCAAAATGCATGATGCATGGTGATGATGCGGCAGACTGCGCGGCGCCGCCACGGCGGATTCTGTTCGACGGTTTAACTGAATTATTTAACCCGATTTATTATTAAATCTCCGAGGCACTCACCTCGCTTTACTTTACCTTGAATTCACGATTACTTTGACGACTCTATCAAGGAATAATAATGTACATAATTTCTAATATCCAATAGTTGTGTAAAGTTTTATATACGAGTATATAATAATCAAAAATTTTCTCTGTTTGTTACAGGTGAGTTTGGAATTTATGGAAAACTAATTATTATTGCGGTATGAAGGTAAATATACTCACTGAATACATAAATATAACTCAATGGAAATCGCATTATTCACTTAAAAGAAAATGTTTGAAATAAGTTTATATTTTCCATTGCAAATAGTAAATATTATGGTTTTCGCGAGTGTGTTATTGTCAACAAAACACCAGACATGTCAAAGACCTTCGCGTAATTCATTATAAAATCACATTCAACTTTATGTTTTGATAATCTAAGTTTCGGCGTCACTTCAAGCGCAAATTATTCCAACAAACGATGATGCTTAGTCTTGAGATTTGAGCTTACAACTTTAATAAGCATTCACGCAGTTAGAGCTCTTGTTCTTTTTCTTTGGAAGCAAATTTCCGTCTCAACTGTGAGCAATCCACATACTTCCTGCGGGCTTGTTGAACTCCATCGCACGCATAATTTCTAATTCCACATTTTGTGTAATGAAACATTTCTCACCATAATATTTAACTGCTACCGTGCAGAGGAGACATGAACCGAAGTATTATCATTTGATATTTGTGTCCCATGCGCGCTTTACTCATTACAAGTATAACGAAAGAATAAAAGATAAACGAAAATAATCCGCAACATATTTAGCTTGTTCGGATGGCAAAAAAGGTAAAACAAAAACTACTCAGTTGGTTTATTGCCTTTTTATGACGCAATTGCGACTAGGGACTTGCTCACGCTCAATACGATGTTTTTTATTCTTGTTTCGTACATTTTCTGAATGTTTATTTCGTTGCCTTGCGTTGCGCGCTGGCAATCTTAAGATTGTGCACAATTCATGCTATCCCGATGAAGTTCATTGCTGTGCAAATCCGTTTTTATGATTGTTGGCATGTTGGAGAACGTACAATGGTTTGAGGCGACTTCCACCCTCGACATATACGCCCCCTAAGAAAACTCAAACTTATCTGAATATCAAAGTGTTTTATACGGTGAAGCGTCGCTTATAATTTTCGCAGCGTGGCGCGCGCATATTTTAGTGAATAAACAAACGTTTTCCCTGCGCGGAGGCATGGAAAATTTGCATGTTTGCGATGACGACTCACGGTTACAGGCGGCTATTATTGTGACAACACAAGAGTTTATCCGTTTCGTCGCCTTCTTTTTGAAGCTTCCTACCATTTGCGACGTTTTTGTGTAAACATCATTAGTGAATTGTTTTTATTCTTCTCGCAGAATACGGAATCTTGCTTGTTACGTGTTGGAACTTTATTCTGATATGGATATTTTAAATTTGATATTTTGCGAATGCGTGCATAACAAATGTGTGAAATATAAACGCAATTTGGAAATGTTTTGTTCTTTAACATTACATTCATTTTCTTTTGTTTCCAAACAGACAAGTAGGTAGGGGAAGGTTGCATAATTTGGACCAGCGCCTAAGTTGGACCACCACGATATCCGCGGACTGTTGAAGTTTATGCGAAAATTGACTGGCCCCTTGTTTTACTCGTATTTATAAACAATTAATGCAACTATTTGGGTTAAAACTTGCCGCGTGCTTTCGTCGTGACAACAACTTCGTGTATCATTGATTATCAAATCTATTATAACGACGTAAGTGCAAGAGCTGTCAAGCCGTTAAAACGTTAGTTTTACCGATTATTATTTTATCATCAGAAAGCTTCGTTATTTATCTATAATTTATAGTATTACATAATTTGGAGAGGTTATGTTATATTAAGATTGTCGTTGATCATTAAATATAAATTCTTCAAGTTGCCGAAGTTGGACCGAAGACAGGCACCGGGGTTTTAACAGGGAAAACGTATATCATTTTTTCGACCTCCTAGAAAAGCTTGTGGACGAGCACAAATCTTCGAAATGATCCACTGTATGAAATGCCGCACTTTGGTTTATACAAAATGTGCTTGTGTTACTGCTAAAACTAAAATTTACTATTGTGTCAATTGCCGTTAAAAAAGCATGGTCCAATTAAGGAAACCGCGCGGTCCAATTTAGGAAACCGGTTTCTTAATTTGGACCAAAAACACAATTTTTTTAAATTGAAATTTGAGGGGTATAAATATAATTTTTACTTAAACCAAAAATATCATTTTGTGGGTAAGCCTTGTGAGTTACTTTTCCGCTACTTAATTTTTATTGACAGTTTATATGTGGCTCTATAAATCAAAAAATATAAAAATGGTCCAAATATGGCTACTTTCCCCTATCACTTGAAACCAAACATTGTTTTCACGCTTATTACCCGGAATAAATCTTGAAATATAATTATTATTTTTGTTTGTTTTACAATGAATAGAAATAATTATTACGCTTGATTAAAGCATTATATTTAATGATTTAATATTTTATTTGGCGTAAATCTGGAACACCGAAATTTTTAAGCTGTGTTAGTTTTACTAAAGTGAAACTAAATTCTTCAAGCGTTGTTATATTTTTAGCACGCTGTATTCACTGAACTGATAAGCCGATGAAGTATTCGGTTGCCCTCCACAGCTATATAGTATCTGGCGTCGCGCATCCTGTAGGCATTTTCCCATTTCCGCTCGTATCTAATGCAAAATCGAACCAACTTATACATACAAAGACGCACATGTCCCTACTACGAAGCAGGTGTAGAGGGTGTAAGCAAGAGCATGCGAGATGATTTCTCCCGTCGTGGCACGTGAAACACGGCGAATATCCACCCTGAGCCCACGTCCTCGCATCGCTGCATGTGTTTCAGGGTAACGGCGGCAGTGTTCCGACAGTCTGCTTCCATTTTTGTTGGCTCCGTGCCCTATATTCAATTTTGTATTCGTCCGATGAGTTCTTCAGTGCGCACTCGCACAACCACTTCACGTGCATATCTCGCATAAGTGACATATTGTTGAGTAATAAGGTGCACGTACTCAAACATGGTCGCCGCGTACGACGTGCATACATGAATCAAACAATGGCGGATAGAGAAACAGAGTGGGTACATGCGACGCATCTATTCTCATCCATCCAATTTGGTCCAATTTCATAAATGATGAGAGTCTTGCCACGTTCGATGGATTTCATTTGGTTAGTTACGGGCGTTATTAGCGCGCCAGAAAATGTGGTTAAGTGCTGCTAGCCACGAGTCGAAAATATATGGAACACCAAAGGAACGAATTTCACCACGATTGGAGTCATTTTTCACGAGCGTAAAAAGAACTAATACTATTTCGCACGTAAAAAATAATCGCAGTTTAATATCGAGGCGCAAAAATACGCTGGAGAAAATGTTTAATTGACTGCAATATTTTTTCAAATGAGTTTTTTATGATATTTTGTGGTATTAACAAAGGTCAACTCATTTGTACAAAAAAAACGTGCTGTTTATGTGCGTTGAAGCAAATATAAAAGTTTGTCTGTCAGAAGCCAATAGCGTGGCTCGCACCTGATGGATGAAAAAAGTTAACAGAAATTGTATCTAATTGATGGATTGGAATGCCTTTTGAAGCTCTAATTTGCATTCGAAGCTTTGACGTTCAAGCAATATTTTTTTCTAGAATATTGCACAATTTGTTTACCTATAAGTTCTTTCTGACATTTACGATACTAAATTAAATTTTCTTTTTAAATTAAAACGTATTTAAAGACTTATACTTCAAGAAGTAATTGAAATATATTGATTGCATCAAATCTACGAATATCAACGTCTGTTGTTGACGTCTACGTTTCCTTCTGATTCACGTGGAAATGTGATCATGTGAAAGCTCACATATGTGTATTGTCTTCCTCACGTGTAAATACTCGAGTCAGATGCAATCGAACTCAACTCCTGCGAATATGACAATGGCTTTAGTGCTGCATCATCATTTGAAACACTTCAATAAATGGCGCCGCTTTTTATACATGCTGTTACAAATTTGTCTCATTTTAATATTTAATTTATACCTGCGGGTATATTTTTTAATCAAATATTATCTTTGCAATTAATTGCGCAGCTCCTATGTATATTTGATTTTGGAATATTTTACACATTTGGAACGCAAACAAGTTGTGAAGCGTTGAAATGTATACGAGCTGTGGAGAGAAACCCGCCGAAGTGAATAAACATTGTGCGCAATTGCTCGAACAATTGTCGGTGTCGAAGAAAAGAGGATGGCGGCAACCGGCGTTTGGTGGCGTACTCGTAGCGTCGTGTGCACTTCCACGTTCGATGTCCGCGCCGTGGTGGCGGCGGCGTCGACGATGCATATACGAGCGTCGCGCTCATAGTCGCTTCGTTATCGTCGTCGTCGGCGGCCGTGGCTGGCGGCGGCGAGGCACGTCTCGTCGTCGGTGCGAGTGGGATTGCGCGCGCGGATTCTTGAACGCGTGATCGCCACCATTCTCTAAACATCCGCCGCACGTGACGGGCCGAGTACCGGGCGCACCAAACTCAAATTCAAAATCACCGCTGACTAAACTCTAACCAACAACAAACAGCAACAACTAATCAGTCATCCTCAGCTAACTTAACAAGTGCGGGCGCGTTTCTTACGACAAACTACAACAAATGTGATTGCTCGACTACCATCATATTCTACGACTGATTACTGACTAAAAACCAATTACTAGAGTCGTACTTTCAGCTCAATAAAGAATTCATTTCTATTCAGTTATCAAAACATAACTTTGGGTACGTTTAATTTATGTTATAACAAACTATCATTGTCCCCTTTTCTGCAAAACGCTTGCGAAGGAGCCCAAGTGTGCACTTGTCCTCATTATCCTGGCGCCCAACAAGAATGACAACTCCTCACCGTACCCTTTTTGCACCCGACATGTGTCACACTAATGTGTTGCCTCTCTTGTCTCTGCTCCCGGTATGGTTGTCACACTTAATATTACTTAAAACCTAGGTCACACTAGGTCGCTTTAGATGTTTTCTTTTGAGTGTTGCTCGGGTGTTTTGTGTAAATAGCGTCCCTTTACGCGCGGCCCCGGCACAGTTATAGTTGTTCAGCACCGTGTAAACTGCAATAAACACAAATGTTGTTAATTCTCAAACATTTAGGTGCAAATGGGATAAACGTTTATCGAAATTAAATTCAGTAAGTTAATTGCGCGTTACAATTGTGTAAACTTGGTTATGTCTATTAAATCGAAACAACTAACGCGGAGTTATTTTGAGGTTAGAGTCGGTTAACGACTGAAAATGTAAATGTTTTATGAATTCTTAAAATTAGACTAGGAATTCGCAATGCACCTATGTCGGCTGGAATAAATCAAACAATGATATTTTTGGTTTGTAATTTCACTAGTGAAGTTTAAGTTCTTAACTTTGGAACAATCAATATTGCCGGTCATGCAGTTTGGTGGTTTGCCAATATTTATGTAAATCTAAATATATACTCTGTTTATTGTTTATTTAAAGATTCGTTATTATTACTCACTGGCTCAGTTGACTGACTTTCTGTTGAATATTTGATAATTGAGAAGTCGTGTTACTCATGTGACCTGCATCCAAATAAATACTAAATATTTTATTGTCAAAACTCCGAATGAAATGTGCGAAAGATAATCGATAAATAGCAGTTTTTTACGAAAACAAATCAAAACAAAGCACAAAAAATAAATGTTGACCATTGTAGGTACATAATATCTTCCTAATACTACTTAATAACATGCTAATGTCAGTTTTGAAAGGTATTAACCAATGTAGTTGCATGATAATTTATCAAATTAACCCAAATATAGTTTGAAACTGTAGGTGTGAATAAATGCACATAACTCAAGTGCCAGCACGCGCGATTTAACTCTTGACAACTGACAGAATACAGGCGTTATCGTTATACTCGTGAGCTATAATCATAACCGTTATAATGTCGCATCCAGATGAACTTGTTAAATATTTTTAGATATTGACACTTCTGCTCAATATCGTTCCGTAACAAATGCGAGTTGAGATGATCGTAATTGGCACATCGATTTTCTATTAAATTGTGCAGTAAAAATTGATAAGTATCTGCGGATATCGTGTCACTTTCTGTAGGTAGGTAGGTATATGATCCAATTTCAAAAATTGTGCAGTGTAACATAATATATTTAATCTTTTCTTTGTGGTTCATGTCGGGTTAAAACGAAAACTACAATCAAAATGCAATGATAAAAGAGTGGAAACAAAAGGGTTACTTTATTCTAAAAGTATTATATTGATTTTCTTGTTTTTACCGAACTTAAAAAACTGAAGTTTATTGTTATTTTAAAAAATCCAGTAAAAGTTATCTAACAATTTGATTGATACTACATTAATAAAGTTTAGTAGCATTTAACTTCATTATACTCTAGGGGAAAAACTGATACTCATAAAAATACTTACACAGTATAATTTAATATGAAAAATATGTGAGCACGTTATATAAAATTGTCCAGGCAAATTGTCGCTCATCACATTTCTATAACTATAATATATGCAGAGAATAACAGTAGATTATTTAGAGCGTTTATTAGCTTCTACGTTCTTCATTGAATTACTCTATCTGTAAATAATAAATGCGCTCACGTATTTTTTGATATTAATACCTAATGCGTTTTGAACACAAATGCGTTTTTATGGGTCACAGATAGAGAAAACCATTCGTCAATGTCTCGCAAACGCCTGCGACTAGACACTATGGTACAGAGCACTAGACAATGTATAGGAAAAAATATTTCTTCATTACAAGGATTTGACCCAGTGTAGTACGATCTGAGTACTTTGGTAAATAATTAACGGATATTGTGGAGCGAATATTAAGTTACCAATCGGGTAATTGATCGCAGCGTCGACTTCAGATAATTGACTAGGGAAGCAATCTGAAGGTAAAGACTTCAATCGTCGATGCCAGCTTTGACTTCGGATACTAACATTAGCAACATGGTAATAAGTTTTGCCATATATCTACGTATCATGAGATTGTTGACTGAAATCTTCATGCAGACTGTATTCATTTCAGTCGAGACATTAGCTAGATAGCAAGTAAATATTAATTTCTTCAGTTTTACTCTTGAGAAATGTGTAATAAGACGCGTTTTTTGTTATATAGGCAACACTATTCACATTAACACATTTTTAGGTTATTATTTTGTGCGCGGTAACAATTCGCTTGGGTTTTACTCGAGAACTTGAGAATTTCTTGGTCATGAAACGCGTAAAATACTTACCTACTTCTATTTCATGACAATACGTGTTCGTTTTGTGTTGCTGCACTTCCATTATTTGTCGATTAAAACCTCTAGGGTATTATTAACTACCAACTCTATTTGATGAAAATTGAATGTTCATGTTCATCAAGTTGAAGTTCACAGGTAGTTGTTATTAATTAATTTAAAACTTACACTCAACGTGTTAAAATGAAATTTATACGATATAAATTGCAATCAATCCAATTCAAGTATGTCAATATCACTCGCATTATTGCTTGCACATATGTATTTCAATTTCAATTCAACCGGTTATCAATAACCCATTGTACGTGTTCGTAAACATACAGGGTGCGTAGTTTGGCAGTTCAACATTGTGACCAAACAATTCAATTGTTCCCAAAATTTCACACAGCATTGATACAATTTGAAACAATTTGCATTCAAGTTACATATTTATTTGTTTCTAAACCAACCCACTAGTTGAGTGCTCGAAGTGCGCACTTTAATTATATTTAAACATTATGTAAATATCTTTGGAGATTACAGCCGGGGGTAGCGTTTGAATTTGAGTGGTTTGCCCCATGTAACTATGAACTATGTGCAATGCAACCACAACTATGCGTACACGGATGTTTGCTTGCTTTTAGGTTGCTTGCAATATGCATAATAATTAAGGGAAATTTAATTAAAGACCACCAGTTACATCCTCATTAAATCATCTACTATGCAGTCTAATTTAATAGTAATTGTGGGATAAATCAAATGCACAAAGATGAAAACATGTTTAATTGTTGTTTCATTATGAGCTTCGGATCAGATCGTGATTGTGATCAGATGATTTCATTTGGAACTTGGTTAATTATAACTGGTTCACAGATGTTGGAAAGTTTTTTGGTAATTATTGCTTGGATCTGTTCGTAACTCTCTAAAAGCCTTGCCGTCTATTTAATTATATTTATTGGGGCTGGAAGAAAGTTCAGAGGCTTTGTGGAAAATTGGCGTTGAGAGCGAATTGCCCCAATGTCATATTGAGCTATATTGAGTGTGGCAATGAGCCACTCCCTGAACATCGAGAGCTCTAACAACCCTTTTATGATACGAGCAGCTAATAGCGCCTGCACAAAGAATGAATTATGATTTCACAATATAGACAATTGCACTTTTGTATTTTTGAAGTTTCAAAGCGTTGCAAATGTTGTAAAAGTCGATTTTTGCATCAATTTGTCAAGTACCTAACAGCTAGTTATGTACGCCACCTTTGCACCGATATGAAAACGACAAATTTTCTTATATGAACGTCTGAAAAACGGCAATATATCACGCAGGAAAACCTGAGAAAACAAGCTAGCGTAAATAAGTAGGAAACATCGTGTCGGTTGTGTAACAAGCCGCTTCTAATAAGCGCCGTGGAAGGCAGTGTGTAACAAATCGAAGCAAAGAAGGGAAAAATGTTTGCATTCCGAAACGCACAAGCCGATGTCGAAGGTCGTGCTTCGTAGCGCTCGTATTTTATTCCCATGAATTCACCGAGGCACGCCAAACAACTCGCATCTATCACGAACGCATTCTTGCGTCTTCTTCCTAGGCACCAGCATGGCATCTAGGTGATTCATTCAGTTCGATGTGCAAATACTTAAAATTACAACGCTACGCCAGCAAACATTGCGGCGAACTCAATAAAATACAGCACACATCACGGAAGTTCCGAGTGTGAACTGTGAACTGTGAACTCAAATGTAGAGATCAGTAAAATCACTAAACTGTGAATCAGTAAACCTTTTAGAGCATTTCGTGCGAATAATTATTTGATGTTCATGCGATTGAAGCAGATCAACGTTAAATTGCTAACTAACAAACACTAAAATAGCCCAGAGCACGAAAGTTGACTAACGAAACTTTTGTTTTTATGTGAATTAAAACCGTTTGCCATTTTTGTGCATTTTTTATGAACGAGTTTAAAATGTTTTGCATACGCAACGAGGCAACCTTTTTAATAAAACATACTCATCCGCAAGAGATTTTTTGCTCCATGTCTGACCACTAAACATCTAAAACACAGAATCAGTAAAAGCTGAGAATCGTGACATTTGGTCATAGCATTCAGTCATCAATTCATGCATTTTTAAACGTTACACGTTGATCGATTTTCGATATTTAGATATTATTTAGTCGTTATGTATGCGACACGTAAACTGATATCATTAATATTCGATGAATAAATTTTCTACTTGTGGATTGCCATTAATTTCTTTCTTTGTTAAGAAAACATTTGTCTTAATTACATTAGAAAATTCTACATTCACGTTGCTGAATACAACCTTAACCGTAAAAATTTAAGACTCCGCGCGGGTATAATAAGTTAAACAGTATTTCATCCAGCAGTTCACTATGGAAATAATACCTCATCATACAATGTGCCCCGTGGCATACTTCACCTTTATAATCCGGGTTGATTTTAGATTCTGAGAATAAAAGTTATTCAATCTTATTGTATAGTCATACCTACCTTAC